CTCCTTCTCTTTCTCCTTCTTCTTCTTCTTCTCCTCCTCCTCCTCCTCCTCCTCCTACTCCTCCTCCTCCTCCTCCGTTCACCCTCTCTCCCTCTCTCCTTCCTCCTCCTCCGTTCACCCCCTCTCCCTCTCTCCTCTTCTTCTCTCCTCCTCCTCCTCCTCCTCCTCCTCCTCCTCCTCCGTTCACCCCCTCTCCCTCTCTTCTCTTCTTCTCCCCTTCTCCTTCTCCATCTCCTTCTCTTTCTCCTCCTCCTCCGTTCACCCTCTCTCCCTCTCTCCTCTTCTCTCCTTCTCCTTCTTCTCCTCCTCCTCCTCCTCCTCCTCCTCCGTTTACCCCCTCTCTCTCCTCCTCTTCTCTCCTTCTCTTTCTCCTTCTTCTTCTTCTTCTCCTCCTCTTCCTCCTCCTCCTCCTCCTCCGTTCACCCCCTCTCCCTCTCTCCTCTTCTTCTCTCCTCCTCCTCCTCCACCTCCTTCTCCTCCTCCTCCTCATCCTCCACCTCCTCCTTCTCCTCCTTCTCCTCCTCCTTCCTTTACCCAACCGCCGCTTTTCTCATCTGCCACATCTGTCACGCGACACCGATCACCTTTTGGAGGAAGAGAGCTATTTAAGTAACGGAATAATTTCCCTTTCCACTCTATTTGAGGTTTTGGTAGCTAAAGTTTTTTCTTTTTCTTTTTCGTTTTCGTTCGGTTTCTCCCTCTTTTGTTTTTGTTTTGCTTTTGTTTTTTTGCTTTTTTAATTCTTTTGCTCTCTCTCTTTATTTTATGCTACATTTCTGTCTTTCTTTCTTTCTTTCTTTTTCATTTTTTTGCTCTCTCGCTTTCTTTCTTTCTTCTCTCTCTCTCTCTCTCTCTCTTTCTCTCTCTCTCTCTCTCTCTCTCTCTCTCTCTCTCTCTCTCTCTCTCTCTCTCTCTCTCTCTCTCTCTCTCTCTCTCTCTCTCCTTCTCCCTTTCCCTCTCCCTCTTTCTCTCCCTCCCCCTCCCCCCTCCCCCTCCCCCTCCTTCCTTCTCTATTTCCACTCTATTAGAGCTATTGAAAGCGTTTTTTTTATTCCTTGTATATTCTTTTTCTGTCTTCCTCCCTCCTCGATTGTTTCTTGTTTAGTGATAGAAAGAGGGAAAGAGAAAAAGAGTCAAAAACTAGATGATGCGTTTTTTTTTTTATTATTATTATCGTTTGTGCTACTATTATTGGCTGTTAGCGCTTTTACTAGTACTACTGTTATATCATCATCGTTATCATCATCTATCGTGTGTGTGTGAGTGATTGAGTGAGTGAGTGTGTAGTGTGTGTGTGCGTGTTTGTGCGTCTTGTCCGTCTCCGTACGTGTATATGCATATATCCGGATTCAATCCCCCAGCACAGAAATCGGCGACCCGAAACGCAAACAGTAGAGGAAACCCACCTAAGCCACGCCCCTTGCACGACGCCAGTAACCCCCCAGACTTCGGGTATTTGCCACTCACTCAGGACGCTCATTGTGGTCTACCAACAACACGAGAAAGAGAGAGAGAGAGAGAGGGAAAAAAAAACAACAACAGTAACTTTAATTTCCGTCGATTAGAGGTTTTCCACAATAGATCACCGTGGCCTTTACTGGATAATAAGGTGCACTTGCAATTGGCACTTTGTGTAGAACACGTGGGAAAAAAATGGAATAATTTGCAAGACTGGAATATTTGGTCTTGTGATTTTATTTTTTTTTTTTTTTACACTTGGGGGGTTCTGGACAGAAGTTATGATTGTATGTTATTTTATGTTATCTTTTTACGTTTTTTCTCTCCCTTTTTTATATTTTTTCTTGGTTATTTTTAGGAGATGATGTCTTGTTTTACGTTATACAGATTTACTTGGTTTATGATACGCTTGTGGTTACGTCCATTTTGATGGTATTTCTTAAGGCAGTGGATGAAAAGTTTCAGGTTTCGGGTGATAATGTCTTCGTTTCGTAGTACTTGAGTTTGTTTAGGAGCGGGAGGGTTAAAGGTAATGGTATTAAGAGATTTAAAGTGTCTTTATGTCTGTATTTAGGTATGTCTGCTTATTTAAGGTTATTGATATACGCACATGGACACGTGTACATACAAACATACATACACACCAAAAAACAAATGAACAAATACGCACGCATACATAGAGAGAGAGCCTTACGTATATAGATATAAACAGATAGGCATATACATGCAGTGTACTCACACTCCCTCACTTATATAATGTAGTAGGATGTTTGTTTAAGAGATTCAGGGAATATATGTGTGTGTGTGTGTGTAATATAAATAAAAACATATGTAATATGAATATATATATATATATATATATATATATATATATATATATATATATATATATATAATTATAATTGTAGAACATTGTGAGAAAAGAATTCCATGAAATGACATTCGGAAATTTTAAGAATGCATCCTCTAGTTTTTCATTTTCTAATCATCATTAACATTAATAGTAGTAGTTTTTTCGGTTGTAAATGTCTCGGCTGAAGTTTAAATGACAAGCTTAGGTCGAATATTTTTTTCCTAATGTTTTGAAAGGCAGCGTGAAGACAGAAGAATTCGACGCTCATATGAGAGTCATGAATAAAATATGATTTTTGTAAAATCTTTTCACACGATTATAGTCAAAATGCCACTAGAGCTCAGCTGTTTCCCTCCCCCTTCCCTCTTTTTTTCTAATTTACCATTTTTCTCTTTCGTTTTCTCTTCTCTCTTTCTTTTTCCTTTATCTTTCTCTGTCTGTCTTTGTGTGTCTTTCTGTGGGTGTTTGTCTATCTATATGTTAATCTCTCACTCCTTCTCTCTCTTTATCTATCTGTCTATCTTCTCCTTTTTCTCTTTCTCTCTCTCTCAATTGTAATTTAATCTTATTCATGTATTTTTATTTCGTTTCGTATTTGTTTATCTTTTTGTTCTTTATTTATTTTTTTGGCCAAGCAAGATGGATTTATGTATATATAAAAAAGTATATGAGGAAAAAAATGGATTTGTTTCAGAAGACAAAACGTGAATCACAGGGCAGTTACAATAAAGTTTTTTTTTTTTTTAATCGTGTTGCGGAAAAAAATATCTTTCTCTTTGTTTCTTTCTTTTCTAAATCCTTTCTTTCTCTTTGTCTGATTCTTCTTCGGATTTCTTTTTGTTTCTTTGTGTCATTTTCCTCCTTTCTGTGTCTTCTGTCTCTCTCTCTCTTTTCCTTTCTCCTTTTCCTCTCTCTCTCTCTCTCTCTCTCTCTCTCTCTCTCTCTCTCTCTCTCTCTCTCTCTCTCTCTCTCTCTCTCTCTCTCTCTCTCTCTCTCCCCTCTCTCTCTCGCTCTCGCTCTCTCTCTCTCTCTCTCTCTCTCTCTAACTTTTTTTTCGCTCTCTCTTTCTCTCTTTCTTTCTGGTCATCTCTCCTTCCCTTCTTCCCCATGTTCTTCCTCTATTTACCCGTCTCTCTCTCCGTCCATCTTTCCCTCACTTCTCCCTCCTCTCTGTCTCATTTGTCCCTCACTACCCTTCCCTTCTCTTCTCTTTTCCTACTTCCTCTTACCTTTCTCCTTCCCTCTCTATTTTCCCTTGCTCTCTCTCCTCCTTCCTTCCTCTTCCGTCTCTCCTCCTCCTTTCTTCTATTCCCTTCTTCCTCTCCTTCCACCCTCTCTCTCCTTCTCTTTTTTTTCACTCTTTCCTCCTTTCCTCTCTACCTCCTTCTCTCCCTCCCTCCCTCCCTCCCTCCGTATCTCTCCTCCCTTCCCCTTCCTCTCCTCTCTCCCTTTCCTCCTTCCTTTTTCTCCTTTCCTTCCTCCATCTCCCTTTCTCCCTCCCTCTCCTCCCCTCCCCTCCCCTCCTCTCTCTCCCTTCCCATCCTCCTCCCTCTCCCTTCCCTCCTCCCTTCCCCTCCTCTCTTCCCCTCCTCTCTCTCCTTTCTCTCTTCCCTCTCCTTTCTTCCCCTCTCCTCCCACCTTCCAGTTCACCTCATGCTATAAACCGTGGATGACACATTTATCGGATAAGCCAGACTATTATTGAAAGTTGAGTAAAAAAAAAAAAATGTTGCCTGTTAAAAAGAAAGGAAAAAAAATACAACACGCTTTAGTGACAACGTTGATGGGGGGAGAAAGAGAAAGAAAGAAAAAAAAGGTAATATATACTGGTAGCTAAACTGCGTGAGGATCGGGTGTTTCAGTGGCTTGTCTGGCTTAAGCTGTGGGTTCGTGCTTGCTTCCATGTCAAGCAGAGAGAGAGAGAGAGGAAGAGAGAGAGTGTGAGAGAGTGAGAGGAAGAGGGAAAGAGAAAGAGAGGGAGGAAGGGAGGTGAAAGAGAGAGATGAAGGAGGGAGGGAGGGAGAAAGGAAAGGGGTAGTTGATAGGAAGAGTAAAATATAGATATAGATAAAGAGAGATAGAGGTGAAGTAAGAAAACAGAAGGACAAATTTGAGAGAGACACAGAAATACATACCCTAAAAAAAAGAAAGAAAAGATACTGAAAGGCACGACCAAAAAAAATGTGAAGGAGATTCAGTATAAGCCACACAGCGAGAAGGAAAAGTTCCGCACGGCTAACACCTAAAATCCTACTGCGTGTGGGAAGAAGGACGCAGGATATGTGTGGTTTGCGAGGGGATTTCCTGGACTCGGGTGTCTCTCCTGCGAACGGGTGACATATAGCGTCCCGTCGGCGTGTACTGACGCTCCTCCTCCTGCAGGTGAGGCGCTCCAAGGTCACGTAATCGCCGCTTTCCTTTTTTATTTTTTATTTTTTTCTTGTGTTATGCTCGGGAATGGCGCCGATTTCCCATTTTCTGTGGAGGTTTCTCGTTTTCTCTTTGGCGGGTGTTACGTTTTCTTTTTGGAGGGTGTTACGTTTTCTTTACTTTATTTCAAGTTTTGCGTTTTCTTTTTTCTTTTTTTCTGTCTGTTGTGGCGTTGGTTCAGGTTTATTTTTATTCCTAATTTCTTGTTTTTGTTTAAAGAACCGAAGATTAACTCCCAATACCCTCCCTCTCCCTTCAGACGTGGTGGGCGGTCTGCACATCACCAATGTGGGCGTGTCGACCCCCCTTGCCGTGGGCGAAAGCGGCTGGCTGGAGTGCGAGTGGGCGGACGACGGCGACAGCATCTACGCCCTCAAGTGGTACCTCGGCCTCGACGAGTTCTACCGCTGGACGCCCGCGGAAGACCCGCCCGTGAAGACATTCAAGATCCGCGGCGAGCCCCTGCGGGTGGACGCGTCGGCCTCGCACAAGGGCCGCGTCCGCATCCAGGCCGTGACGCTGGCGGCGGCCGGCGTGTTCCGCTGCGAGGTGTCCGCCGAGGCCCCGTCCTTCCACACCGAGTCGCACGTCACCTACCTGACCGTCGTCGGTGAGTCGCGTCGCCCTCTATTGTTGTTGTTGTTGTTGTTATTATTGTTATTGATATTGTTGTTATTATTATTGTTATTATTATTGTTATTGTTGTTGTTATTATTATTGTACTTATTATTATACTTGTTATCAGTAGTAGTAGTAATAGTAATAGTAACATCATGATTATTAGTAATATTCGTAGTATTGTATTATTCAATAACCACAACTGAACAAGAGAAAGGTGCCTTGGCTTCACGACGTCCCGTTTTCTTTAAAATATTTGATGGTAGACAATTTTCATCTGTTTTTAAAATCTCTCGAACATTTCTAACGAAACAGAACGTAGAGTAGTGTAATATTAGTGCTGTAATTGTTTTCATTTGTCAGAATGTAATTTCATTTTAAGGGTAACGATATTCTGCATAAAAAATATACAGTTTATATTTAGTAAACCCCCTCTTAGCAGATTGCATTAGAATTGCAGAAACCATATTAAAGAACATCCCATTTTGGCAGTGCATGCAATCACAGACATTCTCTCTCTCTCTCTCTCTCTCTCTCTCTCTCTCTCTCTCTCTCTCTCTCTCTCTCTCTCTCTCTCTCTCTCTCTCCCTTCCTCTCCCTTTCTCTCTCTCTCTCTCTCTCTCTTCCTCTCCCTCTCTCTCTCCCTCTCCCTCTCCCCCCCTCCCCTTCTCCCATTGTCCCTCCCCCCCTGTCCACCCTTTCTCCCTCTCCCTCCCTCCCTCCCTCCTTCCCTCCCTCCTCCCTCCCCCAAACACTAACTAACCTCCCCCCACCCCTCTCCTCTCCTCCACCCTTCCACCTCACCCTCATTACCCTTATCTCTTATCTCCCTCATCCTCCCACATCCCCAGACCTTCCTGACGAGAAACCGAGGATCAGCGTCCCACAGGACACGTATCAGCTGGAAGAGGTCGTGGCGCTGAACTGTTCCTCGCCCCGTTCACAACCTCCTGCCGAGCTCACTTTCTACGTCAACGGAGAGCAGGTAAGGATAGTGGTAGATAATGGTAGATGATAATAGATGATAATAGATGATGATAGTAGATGATAAAGAATTACTTATCATAATTCATAAATTGATAAGGTATGTTATGGTAGATAATATTAGATGATGATAGGTGATAAAGAATTATTCAATATAATTCATAAATTGATAAGGTATATTATGGTAGATAATAATAGATGATAATAAATGATAAAGAGTTATTTATCATAATTCATAAATTGATAAGATGTCGATTTATAAATAGATAGGGTAATGATAATGAGAAATGATGATTTATGGTGATGGTAAATCGTGAATAGACAATGTTAATTAATAATTCAAGAATAGATAATCATAAACATTAATTCATGAATAGATGCGGTAATGATAGTTCGTGAATAGATAAGGTAATGATAAAAATAAACGAATATTTATGAATAGATAAGGTGATGTTAATTCATGAATAGATGATAATGAAGAATAATTCGTGAATATATAAGGATGAAATTAACAGATAAGGTTATGGCAGTGCATAATATGTAAGATTAAAATGGTCCTTAAAAGATAAGATGTTAATAACAAGTAAATTTATTCTACAGCTTTTGGAAACATTAACTAAAAGCGAGATATTATAGATGGTTAAAATGTTTGGGGATTCTCTCTCTCTCTCTCTCTCTCTCTCTCTCTCTCTCTCTCTATATATATATATATATATATATATATATATATATATATATATATATATATATATATATATATATATATATATATATATATATGTATATATAGGATGAATGATGAAAACAATCTACCGCGTTGATACTATGGTAGAAAAACCCACAATGTAAAAACTAGAGGTAAAAATCTAGTTTTTACATTGTGGGTTTTTCTACCATATATATATAACCAAATAAACAAATCTGTAAACTATTCTAACTTTTCTTTCTCTCCTTCTCATAAATAAAACAGTGCTTATTCCAAGACCACCTAAATTTCTCAACCATTATAACCTCTTTTTCTCTCCCGTGTAAAGAAAAAAAAATAATGATGAATAAATAAATAAATATATAAACAGATAAAACACAACCCGCTTAATCCAAGATCACCCAATTTTTTTTCCTTTCTTTCTTTTTTCACGTATTCTAATCTCTCTTTTTCACTTTCTCTCCCTCACCAGGCTGACCCATCGTGGCTTATCCCCCACAACGCCATCTCCGAGGAATCCAACAGCCAGCACCCACCAGGACTCCAGACGGCGATGCTGGGCCTGAGATTCACCCTCTGGCCTCGTCTCCTTCGCCGGGGGTCGGTCGTGGTGAAGTGCACGGCGTCCATCCTCAATCTGTACTGGGATAGTAGCGAGGTGGTGATCCATGCGGACCAGCCGTACCACGCGTCCATTATGGAGGGGAGAGCAGCGTCGTCTGCGGCTGTGGAAGGTAAAGGGGGAAGGGGTTCTCTCTTGGTCTCTCTACACCTACACAGACACAGACACATGTACACACACACTCACTCATTCACTCACTCACTCACTCACTCACTCACTCACTCACACACACACACACACACACACACACACACACACACACACACACACACACACACACACACACACACACACACACACACACACACACACTCACACACACACAAAAATGTGTGTATTATATATATAATTTTTATTTTTTACATAGTGAAATGCTAATGTAAGGGAATGCAGTAGATCAAATACACGTATGAAAGTCACCATACTAAATACTGCGTGAGCGTTGATTAGCGAACGCGTTAATGCCTTCAAAAATTATCCTGCTTAGTTCTAATGTATCTCTCGGGTGAATACATCCTGATTGTAGAGATCCCTAGTAGTATGTATTTTTTTTTTAATGATGTGTAGCATGTACCATAATTTCCTAGTAGTATTTTTTTTTTTCTTTTTTCATTTTCTTTTTTATTATGTATGTTATCTGACCTTTTTTTTTCTCTCCCCCTTTCCTATTCCTCAGGATCCGTGACGTCACTGAGCCAAACGCTCTTTGTCCTTATCTCCACGTGTTGGCTCCTTCATTAGTCCACGCCCACACCTACGCCCACGCCCACGCCCACGCCCACGCCCACGCCCCATGGCATCCGTCAAACGCCCGTGTGAAGGAGGGTCATTGAACACGTAGCGAATGTCAGCTGTTATTTGACTTGACTTATATAGGCCGAGCTTAGAAATGAGAGAATTTATTTATTATTCGATTTATTATCAAAATGTGTTCATTATTATCTGCATTATCGTGGTTATTATTATTGTAATGATTGTTATTATTGTATGTTTTTTTATTATTATTATTATTTATTGGTACTATAGGAATTACATCTTTTTTTACTATTATTAGTAACATTATCATTATCATCATCGTCATCTTCATCATTATCGAAATCATTTTCATTTCCATTAACATTGTCAGTCATCATCATCATTATCAGGTATAATTACCTAGTTAATTATTAATCATTGTCATTATCAGTCACCATTATGGTCATGATTATCAGTCACAATCACTAAAGGTAAAATAATTATCGCCATTACAAATTTCCTTCATTATGTAAGCATTTTCATTATTATTTTCAGTGTTATTACCACACTACCTTTTTACATAAGAACAGTATATTAGCTTATCCTCTATTGATAATATTTAGTGATGTATTAATCACTAAAGCTGTGTAACAGAAAGACCAAACCAGTAAGTGATTCAAAGTGTGA